TTTTTTATAAACAATGAGCGACGGATAAAACCTTCATATTATTATTCAGNGAGGTGACCTTGATAACATATGTCAAAATTGTTGAGATCGGAAAATAGTCCGTATAACTGCATAATTACCTAATTTTTTTTTTTAAATCTTATTTGTTGTAAAATGAAGAGGATTGCCGCAAACGCACGCGGATGAAAATTTGAGAGAGAAGAAAGCAACCGTAAATGGTCATTTAATCGCGGCAACCGCATCGTCGTCGACGCGTACGTTCGTTTCTCTCGAGGGAAGAGCGGCTCCTTGTTTTCATAACTGTCGAAGCGTCCGCGGTATGTTTGAGAGCAACGGTATTAAGGTCGGCGCATCACGATATTACAGCACATCACGTGTCGATGCATCGTGGAAAGAGAGCGAGCCGATATGTATACACACGCGCGCGCGCGAGCGCTCGACTTTGAGCGCGCGTATCGTTCAACTTGCAATTACCAAGTTCACGGCTCGTTTCCCGCCTGAGTTTGCTTTAATGGATATCGAGTCGGTCGATAATCACACACAGTACATACACACGTATCTCGGAACGTCACGTCACCTCGCGTCGATCGACGACGCTTCATTTTCTTGTAACGGTCTTTCTCAAAGTATCGATTCCGGGAGAATTTTAGAAACTACTCTACGGTAATTATTAATATATCGACACCGAGAACTTGATCTCGCGCGCGTTTACGTCTCACGACGCCAGTGAAATTGGGTGAAATTTGATTGAGGAAGACGATTTCCAGACGATTTTCATTCATTATCTGTCATTTATCGAATCACGAGTACACGGGGCGAAGAGCATGTATAAGTTACTTGGATCTCTTTGAACAGTTTTTTTTTAATCTAAACAAACGCGCGTCGATAAAATTCAAGATGATACCTGCTTGTGTTTTTTTTTTTTTTTTTCTATCACGTGTGCTCCAAAAACCACTTTCGGTCGTTCGCCAACCCCCGGCAGACACCTGCAGAAATCTTTTGGATCGTTCGGCAAACTCGCACTGTCATATCACCGTGAGAAAATCAAAAGAAATCCGTCACGAAAAATCGTCGAAATCGGAATCCGCACACGAGGCGCGTCACACAAGACGAGTTTCACTTGGTGCGATCAAAAATTCACTCGTCTCCCTTGACGATGACGTTCGATACGGTCGAATCCTTCTCTCTGCGATCGTCGACCTTGGCCGCAAGCGAGTCGATCCGGATGACCGTCGACGTGAAACTGCCGGGGATGTTCCGCAGGAGAAGCTCGAGTTCTCTAGCTAGTGAGTCGGCGCCTCCGCGCCGCGGAACGACGAGGAGGAGAGGGATGAAGATGGTTAGCAGAGAGAGAGAGAGAGAGAGAGAAAGACAGAGAGAGAGAGAGAGAGAGAGAGAGAGGTCTTCATCGCGATACGCTTACGGGCACCGGCTACTACTCTCTTGTTGGCCGTCCGGAAATCTCGTAACTAATGATATCGCGCTGATAAAGTAGTCCGCGCCTACGCCCGCGATGTATCGCACTTTTGCCGGATAAGACGCTTTCTTCTCTCGTCTAAATCCGTTCGAGAAAACACACACAGTTGGAAAATTGCTTTTCTCTTTATTAGGAGATATTTCTCTTTACACGCGTAATATCCGACAATCGATTTTTATATTTGGAAATATCATCTCCGACACGGAGAATAGTTTTTTACATATTTTTTGACATTATATTTAAATAACAAATAAAATTTATTATTTAAATTAAAAATGTCTTAAAATTTGCACGTTTCATTTTTTTTATCTTAAAATAAATCGATGGTAAATATCGAATAATTTTATGAAAAATGATTCCCTTTTGTGTCCAAACCTGGTCAATATTCATATACGTGACCGATTTTGAAGTGGGTGAGCTGAATAAAAGTTGAGAAAACACGACCGGAGGAGCGAGAAAGGAAGACGCGCGCGTTCGACTTTATTCATTTGCATTAAAACTGTTTTTAATTGCACACTCTATTTTTTCTTAAAACAAATTGATGATAAAAACCTGTAATTTCACTAATATCGAGTGTCCCGTGTATGTCGCAACTGATCGATATTGTGGCCGATTTCGGTGGGAATTAGCTGAACAAAGTTGAGAGAAGACAATCGACAGACCTCGAAGGAGCGCTAAAGAGATACGCGCGTTCGAATTTTGTTTATCTGCATTGTGAAAATGTTTTCAAATACGCAAACTTCATTTTTTTCATCTTAAAACAAGTCGATGATAAAAATCTGTAATTTCACAAAATATCGAGCGTTCCATGTGTGTAATGGCTGATCGATACTGTGATCGATTTCGAGATGGGTTTTACCAAATAGAGTCACGACCGAGGGACGGAGGAGGAGCGAGAAGGAGAATCCAAACCGAGTAATCGGGTGGACCGTATGGCGTCGTTGTCCTGATCTTCCGATCGGCATTGGGAGAGCCGGTGCGCACTCTGCGCGCTTTAACATCGTAACTGATAACGGTACCGCGGCTTCGACGGCGGTCGCACCAATGTGAGAGTACTGTTATTCCAACTATGTGCAGGCCGCGCGTTCCCTTCTATTCTATCCCCCCGACTCGACCGACACTTCGCTCTTCCGTTCGTCTCTTGTTCCTTCTCGTTCTCCCGATATCAGTGTTTCTATTCTCGTCTGTCATTCCGGTTTTTCCCGTTTTTCGAGAAAAATTGGAATGTCTCAATCTCGCTCACAAGTAACGAGTAAGTAAATTGCCATGATTATTTGTGAACTTTGTGATTTTTTTTCAGAAAATGACGTCATTTTTCCAATTTGTGTTGGCGTAATTATATAAATATTCCGAATTATTTGTGAACAAAAGAGACACAGAAGAGAGTTCACTCGACGGATCTTATTATCTCCCCCTCCTCTCTCTTTCTCTCTCTCTCTCTCTCTCTCTTTCTCGTAATTTCTGTCACAATTTACTTTCATTTGTGTATTGTTAGCCGCAGCACTCGTGGATGAAACACACCGCCGCTTACCTTACGGCTAATCGTGAGAAAGTTAAACTGCAGCGATACATCCGACTCTAAAGCTTAAGCTACGCATTATCTTTGCTTAAGCCGCATTGCGGAATTAATCACACCGAAGCGCACCATGTCGTCGCATTCCTCCGTTTCGTGTAAAAATAAATTATTCATGTCTAATAAATATTTCACGTATACCAACTAAAGTTTTTTGTTCAATTAAAGCGAACACACACACGTTTACAAGATATATATTTTACTTAATAGGCTAATTATAAAATATTGTTTTAAGAAAAACACACAATTGGAAGCAGTTATAACTGTTTGCTGGTAGAGATCAAAAGAGATACGTTATGTACGAAAATACAGAAAATTTATTAAAGTTACACGCGCGATATTTCCGTCGGGAATTGTAAGAACCCGTTACGAGGAAGACCTAGGCCATATCTATATAATAATAATCGTCGGGTTTTATGCATCGGGTGATTACGGTCTTATACGTTTCGTAGATATCTTTCGGTCAACGACAGGTGGCATACGCTTCGTATTCGCGGAATGTTTTGCCCGCGTAGCGGGAAGTGACTGCCAATTCTTCGCCGAGGAGAACAATCCTGCATCTGTCGTCTCGTTCCGGGTTCGCGCAGATATCGTCGATACTTAAATCAAGTATCTTCTCAAACGTGATTGTGCCATTAAGATGTGCACGTGTCGTCGTTGCACCGTTATCACTTTGGTTAACCAGTTTGGTTTGTCTGTTTGGTCATTAATTTGTCCCGCACGTGTATATCGATTTAATCGCATCTCCTCGACATGACAAAAATCAGTCGAATGCAATTTGTTCCGATGTTCGAATGTTGATTCGAATATCGTTAGCGCGATTGTTCATTCATTTTTTCAACACAAAGTGTTTTTCTAGACACATTATCGTTCATTGTGTTTGATTGCGTTTTTTTTAAATTTTATTTAATTAGCTAATTAATTTTAATAGATTGGAATTAATAGATTAGTTTTAATAGAGATTGGAATTAATATTCCACGATATATCGATTGAGTTTCGATTCGATTTCGATGCATTCGGTGCGCAATCTCAAGCGGAAGTCACGGCGAGTAATTCTTAATACGCGAGATTCTTAAAACCGCTCTTAAAAGGATTCATTCTAAGCGGAAGTATCGATGCGACTATCAATTTGTCACGCAGGCAGGTTTCACAGCTGTTACCCTCGTCGATGCGCCGAGTGTTCCGGCGTTTAAATGCCGTTTTTGCATTAACTATAATTACGAAACGGCCCGTGGTTCAACATAGTCGAGTATGACTTCTTTGTGTACATAATAACTGGAAAAACTGTGTTTAAACACGTACAATAAAAATAAATAGTTAAATACGTCTAAAATAAACGAGTATTTTATTTTTAACGGCAGAAACACGTGCGCGCGTTCAAATCACCGCCCGTTGAAATCTCCGAGAATAATATTACGAGAAGCGATTGATAAGTACCGCAAACAACGCACAGATAGCGACAGTGGTATCACATTGTTGCGTTATTGTTGACAAATTTCACTCTTAGGAAGAACAAATGTTGTCGAACGCTGTCTCGTTATCGCACGTATAGCGTTTGTGCGACAACGGTTTGTCAACGACAGCGGCAATGTGACACACGACTGCGACTCGCTGTCTACGCTGTCGTTTCGGATACTTATCAATCTTAATGCTCCATACAACATCATTACAGCGTCAAACACTCCATTCGTCAAAGTTCTCAAATTACACCATCTCCGAGCGGTGTAGCATCCGACATCTACCGGCGAGTGTGATAAAATACCGCTTCTTCGCGGAAAGTAAATCAGGTCTTTATAGATCTCTCGGCGGGACCGGGCGCGCATCATATTTCGGACAGAATGCAGACTTGCATATTAAATCTCGTTTCACGCACGTGTTATTACCACGCGCCCGTTTTTAACGGTTGTCCTTCGTGTTTCTTCTTTTTTTTTTTGTTTTTTTTTTTTTTTTTTGGTTCTCCTGTTAACCACATGTATCCTCGATCTCTTCTCTCCTGCCCCAAATTTTTTTCTCACTTCTTTTTTTATACATTCTTCCGCGACCTTATTCGAGCACTCTTGCTCTCTCATTTTCGACTGCGCGCCGACGCAAGCAATCGCGCGGCGCGCAGTCGATCAAGAGATCATACACAATCACGTGATCGGTCAGACAATCTGTCAGACGAATGCGTAAAAAATAATATTACAACTGCGGAGTAAACGTAACGGTAGGAAGAGCAGCGATCGCACGGATTATTGCAATCGCACATCGTGCGAGTATTATACTCGCCGTCCGTTTGCAAAAGAATAGCCCATTGTATCGGCACCGTTATGGAAGTTTGATTTTGTAACACGAGATAATAATAAGTGGATGATGATTCGCGCTGACATAACGCGCGTGTGTGTGTGCGCGCGCGCGCGCGCGCACAATGAACAAAATCGATTAAAATGTGATTTTCGTCTCGTGACCCGATTTCTTTGCGCTCGCGTAGTCGAGCGTGCGTGCGTACGTACATACGTAACGCGCGACTAACTGTAAATCGCGAAACAACCTTCTAACTGTAATTCGAGCTTTCGAGCTCGCGCTCTCCGCGTCACGTTATCACAGGAATTCGAGAGTGTTAAGGTCGCACGCGCGGCGATCCGCGTGAAGGTCACACGGGTGCAGCGTTTGAAAATTAATAGGAATGTGCAAAAAAGTTGTTATTTGTTTAACGGTTGAATAAAAAAAAAACTGATGATGAGTTAAAATCGCAACTTTCGCTCTTCGTTTTGTACGGAATCGAAAAGGATTGGTGTGTGAAATATATATATGTTCAACGAGATTTAATCACTCAAAGAGTCACTTTGCAGTCAGTTAATATTATTTATTTGTATTTACGACAAGAAAAAACGCGTGTACAATATATTCACATGCGTATTTTCTCTTTGCGACATTAATCCATAGATGTTTGTTTGTGTGTGTGTGTCTGTGTACGCGCACGCGGAAATTAGCGCCCGCGACGTAATTACGCGAACTTTCGTCGTCAAGGAAAAGCGCGTCTTGAGCGCGCGTGCAACCGCTTACGTAACGCGTCGCGTATTTTCGCATTTTCTCTCGGCGCGGAGAGAACACGATCTCACAGATACATCCTCGTTCCTCGCGATTTCTCGCCGCCTTCCGCCTGCGCGTAATGTTTATATATATATATATATATATATGTATTATATATGTTATATACTATATATGCATTTTTTTTTAAATGTAATGAGTCTTCTTTCGCATTCTCTCGATGGCACATTCCTCTATCAGTGCTCGTCTCAGACGCGAGTGTTAATCGTTATTTATAATAATGACACAGGCGCGCGCAGGCTCTCAATCGTCTAAAAATAAACTATTATCTCTCGCACATCAAGTCGCAATCATAATACGCACATACACACGCACGTTCGCACATTTACATCTATTATTATTATTATTATTAATTACAGCATATCGATTTGTGATACGATCGAAGCGAAGACTCGCGCCTATGCGTTTTCTCTTTTTTTTTTTTTTTTTTTCCCATCTTGCCGTGAAAAGCCGCAAGGTCGCGTGGTAGTAGTTTACCGACATCCGGATGCCATTAGCATTCCTTCGAATGGCGTCTCTCGTTCTCTTTATCTTTCACCGTTCTTCCGGCGATTGTTGTACTTAGCATTTTACCTCGGGCGGCGGAAGGTTTCGATAAGAAGCAAACAAGATACGCTCTCCTACAGGCGCTATTTTCTCGGACACACTTTTGTCTCTTTTTGCATACCGCTATGCGTGCGTCTCCCCGCGCGATTGACTGGTAACACGGCTCTATCGTCACGCGTGCTTGTTATTTTTAAAACCCAGTTACGCGATAAAGCGAGTAACAAAGACGATTCTCTCATGTCTCTACGTTATACGAGCGAATGCATACGCGGAAAAAAAAAAAAAAGATTTGCCAGAGGAAATTAGCAAGAAATTAGTTTTATTGGCCGGCAAGAAAAAAATTTGCGTGTCAGGACTTCGTCAACAAAAAAACGTTTTGCTGACGAGACAAAAAAATTCAGTAGATTCAGAGAGCAAATGTTTCTTGCCGGTCACGTAATAGCAAAACACCATTTTTTTTTTCCATGTAATTGTGTTTCTAACACGTTTTCGAGTCGAAAATAAAGAGCGATACTTTGCGGCGCGTGAACGTTATTCTTTTAATTGTTTAATTAAATGCTACTTGTTATGTTATTCTACATTTCGTGTTATTTTTATTGCGATTTTTTTATAAGACAGCCTGTCTCGAAGGCTGCGCTCATTTGCGATACGTGCAAACGTGCGTGTACGTACGAGTTCTTGTTTCTTCGATATAACTTCCACGCACATTGTTAGTACAATTGTTTTTTTTTTTTTAACAAATATAAAATCAATCGAGTGTACATTCGGCATGCACGAGCGCATGCAAAATTGGCTGTTTTATGGGAGACGATCGGTAATTGTCCGAATACACGGGAGCGATTACACCGCGAGATAGAACGTTACAGTTACGCGATATATACGTATACACGGCGCCATAACTGTACCCTCCGCGAGTACTGTTCGTACAGCACATTCGTACGTATGTGCGTTTTACGTATAGCGCCGTTTACATTCTAATTGTGAGTTACTAATTACTAATTACAAATTGTCAAACACGTCTCTCAAACGCAAAAAAAAAGAAACGTGTTTTTCGTTTTATTCTATATTTTTATATAAGTACAATGGCTCTTTCCTGGCGTGAAAAACGGGGTCCCGAAACGCGGGTCCCCGTTGTGGTGCACTACCGCGCGTTTCTTCTCAGTGTTCGAAAGTGTCGTGAACTTTTTACTTCTCGTTGAGACAAATTCTCGAGCTCTTTTTCCGAAAGCTCCGATAACAATCGTCACATTTTCCGTGCAACCGTCTGACGAAAGAGGAAATCGTTTTGTTGCATAAAATTTCTTATTTTTTTTCACACTTTATCGAGATAAAAAAAAAAGTGTTCGTCTTTACTATCGAACGAGAGAAGCAACGTCGAAAGACTTTTCCTCACCCAATTCTTTTTTTTTTTTTTTTCGGAAAATTTGTTGCAGTCTAATAATCTTTCTCGTAAAATATCCAGAGCGCGTATACTTTCCGAGAGAAAATCTCTTACAGAGCTTTCGAATCGCTCGAAGATAACGAAATATGGTCGAAATACTCGTTTTTTTTTTTTATTTATTTATTTATTTCGAAAGAAAAAACGCGCGCTCCATTTAAGCCACCAATCAAGGTAATTTGCATTCCACCGGTTGTTGCAATCCTGAAACTAGAGTATCGCGCGTACGACGGTTGCGGTTAACCCTGAAAATTACACGGGAGAACGGAATGTAGCCGACGACGACGACGACGACGACGAAGGAAAGATTCGCGCATGCATAGCGCGTATTACAATGCACATGTTATTTATTATATGCGCCGTAAAGTGAAATAAAGCGTCTCGTGTCCGAGCAACCGTGCGCGATCGAAATTTTCCTTAACATTCTACTGTTAGTCCGTTCGAAGGGAAGATATATCGTTGTTAAAAAAAAAAAAAAAAAAGAAAATTACAACAAACTATCAATCAGAGACTATTTTACTACACAGGTCTTTACTTGAAATGGATTTCATGCGTTTAAAGGAAAAGTTATCATGGAAAAAAGAGATTTGCTAGAATAGCAAGAAATTAGTTTCACTATACGGCCGGCAAAAAAAATGTGCCAAGCCTGTTTAGATGATTGTTTCGTTAACAAAACGTTTTGTCGATGAAACAAAACATTAATAGACTCAACAATTGTTTCTTGCTTTCTCTCTTTTTTTTGTTTCATAATCAAATAAAAAATCGAGACACCGCCCGATATATCTCCATCTCAATGGCATGTTCATTTAATTATCTCCGACCGGCTTATTTAGTAAATATACATACGTATATATATATATATATATATATATGTATATATAGAGATGCGATATGTTTTCATGTCGGTATGTAAGCACACGCGCGCACTTGCACGGTACGGTCGGGGCTCATACATATTTTACACTCACTTTCTACTTCAATAAACTGCAGTAGCCGCGGCAACGCGATCTTTGCTCGTGTAACATAGTTAACGTGTGTGCACAAGACAATTTTTATTTTGTCAGACGTCGCGCGGCGAAATCGCGCTCGAGCGGCTTGGGAAAAGCTCGGTGAGAAATATGTACCGATTAGGCAATTACGACCGCGTGGCAACCTTGGCAACGTGGAAACGTGGTAACGACAGTCAGGTGACTAATAAAGTGTGCATCCTTCGCATGCGTGCGCAAGCGACGACGTGCGCGATAATAATCAGTGGCGTGGAATTCATTCTTTTTTTCTTTTTTTCTTTCTTTCTTTTTTTTTCTCCCACAGAAGACTTTCGCGTTTGCGTTTTTTTTTCTTCTTTTACAGTCAGATAATCGATTGATATTTAATCACCGGTCGTGATTAATTGCTCGTTAGAGGTGACGATGACGATACACAGCTCGCGGGTTTTTATCTTTAGCGAGATCTCCGAAGAGAGGGATTATTTCTACAAATAATCGCCGCCTCTGCCGTCTCTTTTCCGATTTGTATAATAATAATTCTTTAGCCTTTAACGACTCGGCGGCGACGCATTAACGATACGATATGCCTACGTGTTGCCGCAATTTTCTCCTCGAAGACGCGCGCGTCGATTAAGCAACGCGATGACAAATTATTTATAAAACACACAGATTGCCGCTTGTAATTCTGAATACGAAATTTTGTCGCGTATTACTCTCCCATTCGAATGATAATGTCGAACGAGACAAAAAAATCGTGGCGATTGCGTAAACGTCACCGTCGAGAGAGCACGGATGATTTTTCGTTACGTAAGATTGTTTTTGTTTCTATTTTGTTCGCGTTAGAAAAAACGATTCAAATATATCGTCGGCAAATATCGTCGTAGCCATCGTCCCCGAAGTGCGATTTCGGAGAAAATCTCTCTTTCTCGCTCGATAAAATCTTGAAAAAAAAAAAAAGAAGAAGAAAATTGCGTTTTCTCGACATAATTTTTTCTGCGTAACTTTTATACATTATGCAGAGAAATTTGCGGAGAAAGGCGAGGCAGGCCTCATTTTTATCGCTCGTAATCTGCTCGCTCGATGACGTGCACCGATCGAAGGAGAAACGCTTCTCTGAACCGCATTTGAATACTACGTTCGACTTGCGTAATGAACGAATAATTGTTCTTACATAGCTTCCCCGATCGCTATTATCACCGAATTAATTAATACGCTCATGAATCATTTAGCATCTTCGCGCGCGTTTGCATTGTTTACTTTTACCGTAAAAGACGATTCGATTGTGAAAAGCCCAGCCCAGAATTTTAAGTAATTCAATTGTTAATTAGAACAAAATTAGAGAATTGACTGTTACACCATCGCATCGCGGCAGTTGAGACGTAAACGTTAATTATAGCGTGTGTGTGTGTGTGTGTGTGTGTGTGTGTGTGTGTGTGTGTGTGTGCGTATGTAACATCTCCACGATCATCAGCGGCACTCGTGACGTGCACATGCGAAAGGATTCTCGGCGCATCAAGTATTTTTAATCGCTGAGCGCATCGATGTCACTGTCATCTACAGAATTAAAACAAAAAAAGAAAAAAAAAAAACGATACATAATGCGGCGTAGTTGTCACTACCGCGATTATAATATTTGATTTTTCAACCGTTATAATATGTATTTGTAGGATAATAAAAAAATCGCAAGTTCAAAGACGATAACAAAAAAAAAAAAAAAAAAAAAAAAAAAAAAACGTGAAATATCAACGTGTGACTTTTGAGGCAAGGTCGGTATTATTATTTTACAACTTTTACTCTCTCGCGCAACGTTATTGCTAATATATACATTGCGATACAACAAACGTGGCCGCAAAATGTCACAACGAAGGACACTTTTCTAGGTCGGATCTGACACACGAGACTGTCATTATCCCCGCGAATGCAAATATCGACGACGATCGACATTACTATCTCTCTTTTATGTAACATATTTTTTTTTTTTTTTTTTTTTGTTTGATTCTCTCAAGCGTTAACGAAATTAATGCCAGCGACATTGGAACCTCTCCGGAAAGAGATCTCCCAGACTCGTTTTCACAAAGGAAATATTATGTAGCAGTCTCTCCTGCATGCTTCGTGCCTTCGTCTAATGAGCTTCAGACAGCAGAACTGTCTCCTTCGTAAGACGACAATAACCACCGCCTAATTAGTTAGTTGCGTTTTGCGGACAGGAAAGGTCGTTACAATTCTCAGCGCGATTATGTCACCGGTAATCTAAGACGTTTCACTGATATTTTGTCGCCAAAAAAAATGATCTATTCTTATTTACATACAATTTATATAAATATATATATATATATATGTATATACATCGAAAACCAAAAAAAAAAAAACAATTTATAGAAGACATCCGCTCGCTACGGAGACTGCGACAAAACGTTTTGCAATCCTTTTACCACGTAACACGATGACGGAACGCAAAGTCGCCTACAGACGATGTCACGGTTGAAAAAGCAAACCACAAGATGTTTGTTAATCCAAACAACAAAATCGTTCTTGCGTCAACGCGATTGACCGGAAAAAAAAAAACAAAATAATAAATTTCGAAAAATTGCTAACATCGACAGTAAACAGAAAAATATAAAGAAGATATTTACAAGATAAATATGCCGATTAAAACGTTAAAGTTGCGAAAATTGCTCTTTCGAAACGCGCGAAAGATTTCCTCTCTCCTGCGGAATGTCGCTCTGGATTGCCCCCCAAAAAAAAAGTTTCGAATTGAAAACTTGAGACTGAAAGGGATCCACAGTCTCGATCAGTAATTCTAACGGGGTCTCGGCCTGGGTAGCGGTTGTATCTGCTGCTGTTGATGATGGCCGTATCCTGTTCTCGGGTTTGAAGCCTGCGTCCGCTCCGATCCGTCATTGAGATTCAGTCCGGCGACCAGTTGGGCGATCTCGCGATCCTTTTTCTCTTCCTTCGGCAGCGCGTTGCCGTTCTGCGCGTTGAAGCCCAGAGATGCAAGACTACCGTGACTCCTGCTTCGGTGTTCCGCCCGAATGCTGTAAGAAAAGGCTCTCTCGTTCAGGTGACCCTTCCGTCGATATATGCCAGTACCGAAGCGCGACTCGTTCTCCGGACTGTCGGTCTGCCGGTTGACTTCCGTCGCGGTAAGATCCGCGTGAGACACGGCTAATCTCCTGGACGTGCCCAAGGTGGAGTTATCCGCCTCTGGCACATGTCTTCTGCTTCTGTTTCCGGCTGTGCCGTACGTTCCAGCCGGATAAATAGCTGACGCAGCGGATGGCGGTACAACTGGCACGGGAGCGTAAACTGGGACTATTGGCGTTGCCGCTGGAATGGGCCTTAAACGCGGATGATGACTCTTTCGAGGCAAAGTGGCCGCTGGTACTAGAAGCACCGGCGCCGGTCTGGCCAGTGTACCGGCGACCGATCGACTGCTAGGTGGTAACGGATGGGGATGATAATGCTGCTGCCTGATGGGATGACCCAGAGTGTGATGTCCGTGACCGTTAGCGTACACGCCTTGATGCATCTGATGATGAAGAAGCTGTTGCTGTTGCTGCTGCAAAGCGTCCTCGTGTAATGATCGAGTTTTCATTTTTTTCAGCTTCTTGTTGGCTTTTCGTCGTGCGGAAGAGGAAGAAGATTCTTCCAACAACAACGGCTGAGCCGGAGGGGGTGGTGGTGGAGGCGGCGGTGGTGGGGCGACCAACTGACGAGGTCTCGATCCTTTCGTACTTCTCAAGGTACCTTGTTCTTGATAAAGACCGTCAACTTCATCGCGACCTCTGGCCCAAACTTTGTGATTCTCGTTGCCATTGTACAAACTAATATCGTCAGTTGACGTCGCGTCTAAACGGGTTGGCTGAGGACTATCTAAGGTCGTGCTTGAGCCGCCCAGAGTGTGATAGAGACTGTTGTTTGATTGATGATTTGTCGTGACTCCGTTAGCGGTCGCTGTCGATGGCTCCAGACCTTTTACGTAACTGCTGTCAGCATAAGCGTGGAAGCAGCACCTCACCAAGGCGTTGGCTGCCATGTCTCGCTTGCAGATAAACGCGTGACACTCGAGAACTTTGATTCCGGTTGTTCTTCGCAGCACGGCGGCGAACAGAGGTGGATGATTAGCGCTGGGCGTTCTAGCGAATGGCGAATCCAACGGCAGAAATCGCGTATTGGACGTATCGCCGTTTCCACCTTTGACATGTCTGACCGCGGCGCAATAGTGAAGCGCCTCGATGGGAAAGAATCGCGTGACCTTTTTGCGATGTTCATCGACGTTCTCCAATAGCAAACCGTTACTCCAAACGCTGAGCCAAGAGTCGATTCCGCGAGCACCCAGCGCACCCTGCTCGGGATAAAGTTCTCTCAGAGGTTCCTGAACACCGAGAAGTCCCTCTTTGCTCGCGTGAGGGACCGAACTGCCCAAGTAAAGTACTCTGCACCGACAATACGGCGTTGCTGTGTCCTGATTAGCTCCTCTCATTTTTTATTCGATTGCAAAGTGATTAATTTGTGGTAAAAATATAAATAACAAAAACAGTTTTTCTATCAAGCTTAAATCTCCAACAATTGTACACACCAAGTTCAACCGCTCATTGCCGCGTTTTATAATCACTGATCAAAAACTGGTTTAAGCGAAAAAAAAAATCTTTCGGTGATTTCAACGCGAAATACATCGGTATCGCGATTTTCTCAGTTGTGACAGCGACATTCGAAAATTATTACTGGTCTTGTCGAACATTAAAATACTAGCTGGTTAAATTATACTTTCCGCGCGCACCGTCAGACCACGTAGACATGACTCAGAAGCTCATTGAAGTGTATGTGAAGCATGCGACATGCTCGCAACTTGGTGAACGATACGAGACTCCGCCCGATAATGCTCGCGGGCACTCGCGGGCCGATTACGCAGTCGTTGCTTTCCAAAGGCAGGCAGAGGCGGCGTATATATATATATCTCTCTCTCTCTTCGCGTACACGTCGTCGCAGCATGTAGTTGCAAAATACATGCGCGCGGCAACGGCGAGAGGAACACGATAGTGCGGATATTTCGCAGCAGCTGTAGCTGCTCGCTCGAGATCGCGTCAGGCTATTATGGCCGACTTCTTGTAAATCCCCTCCCACCGGCTATCGGGCTCAGCTTCGCGCTCTCTTTCTCTATCTCTTTCTTTCTCTCTCTTTCTTTTCTTTTTTTTTTTTTTGTTGCTCCTCCGTCTTTCTTTCTCTTTTCGTCTCGTCCTTATTGATCGCTTCCTCCACCACTATTCTTTTTGTGTCTCTGTCGCTTCCTTTCGATTTAGCTCTAGGCTTCTCTATCTCCCTTCCCTGATGACCAGAGTCGGGACCTCACTGGTATGCGGCACAGTGGCGTCGTCGTTGCCGTCGTCGCTCACTAACGCACCTCCACGTGCATCAGCTCCGTCACACGTACGCACGTACACTCAGCGGGGGACGCACGTACACACGCGAGGCCGACACCTTTGGAACGATGAGAAGAGAAAACGGCCGAACGATGCCCGGCGGCAAGAATTTAGCAAATATCTCTTTTTATATTATTATCAGTTTTGCTTGTTGGTGTTTCGTGGAATCCAGAGGCGCGGCCGCAAGCATCAGCCACGCCACAGCACAAAACCACTGTATCAGATACCGGTGGGCCTCATTGGGCCTCACGCGCGAAGACGGCGAAAATGGCGGAGAGTGCTTCCGTTCGATTGCCAACTGCCAACTCGATGACTGCGAATGGTTGATGTTGCACGAATAAAAACGAGCGATTTCTCGGAAAAAGATCGACACGTAGGTGAAGCGGTCCTCAGGGGTGACACTGACACGTCGCCATGTGCTGTAGAATACAGTACGTGCCGCCTTGCGCTCGCGCGCGCGCACACACACCCACGCACACGCACGAGCGGTCTCGAGCGGAGCAGCGAAGCAGCAGCCGCCAGTACGTTCGTCTTCGGACTGAGACCTGGTGGAAGGCGTGAGACTTCGTGACTGTAGGCCCCACTTCACTCCCAGATCCCCTTCTCTCTTTCTTCGTGATTCTCAACGTGTTGGGTCACTCCCTGGTCTCCGCGATCAGGTAGATGTCACCGTATTTATCTCTTCGTCAAGGAACGCCGGAAATTATGCCACGAATAAACGAATAAATGTTTCTCTTCTATTTTTGTTTATTTACGAGACTAAGTCTGGCAATAATTTTCTTGGGGTATTAGATTATTGTTAATATATTAATATTGCAATTTGACGATGTGAGTTTTAAAGAGAACTTCGAGAAGTTAAATTGTATAAAAACTTAAATGTGTTTCTACAGAAAAGTTAAAAGAATTAAAAAAAGAAAAAAAAACAGAGATTTTCCACACGAATAGCATGCGCACCAATCGCTTATCTGTCACAAATCCGATGCAAAGTCACACACAATGGCGTGTGACGTGTACATTTGTGTGTATCGAGCCTGCCCTTTATAGGTCAGAGATTGCGCACACATATACACACACACCACGAAGAAGAGAATCTCCGGTGCACGTTTTTCACATACGAGTCGCCGGAGCACACACAGGAAGTGGACTATTCTCTTTTGACAAGAGGGAGGATTCGAGGTCTCGAGGTCGCTCTTCACATCGACGAAGCAGAACATGACCACGAAGGTGAAATCACGAATTTGTTGCGCAACGACACGAATTGAGACGTCTGCCAGACGACCCAGACAAACGTCACAAATTACCCAATCCGCACGAATTGAAATATTGTCCACGTTCATTTTTATGTAAAATATTTCCCACAATCGAACGTGAAACTGATGCGTGAAAACTGCGGTAATTATTACGTTTTTTTTTTATTATTTTTCTTTTTTTAAAAAAAAAAAGAATAAAATTTCGACGAGCTGCTGTGACGTTTCTCGCGGAGTTTTCGCTGCGCGAAAAATAAAACGAACACATTGTCGATGTGTTTTTCCGTGCAATTAAACGCGGATCGTCGTGTCGTCGAGACAACAGGAAGACGAGAAAATCCGGTAGCGAGTTGTGTCGTGTCGCGAGCGTGAAATCGCGGAATCAGGGTCGCGTGACCGAGACCCTGACCGTGCCCCCCAATGTCAACATTTTTCAGTGAGAATTCTTCTCGAGTCGTTTCGCACAAGTGACACATTTTTATAAGCGGGGTGAATAAATGTCGACGGAGTCATTTCCGTTCGACATTAAACATGCGAATTAACCCGAGTACTGTTGCGTATAACTGTACCGCAATTTTACAACGATTAACATGTGAACGCGAGATTAAGCGAGGATTTTCAGCGTGCGTTTTGCGACAATTTTCCTTGGGTAAAAAATTTAATTTCTATCAAAAAAGATCTCGGTTAAAAGTTCGTGAAATGGACGATCTTTAGAACTCGTTTAACCCTCGCTGCATTTTGTAGACGCGCGTATTTGTTTTTATATCAAAAAAACAAAGAGACAAACACAAACCGAAGGTTGGTCAATATCTGTCACGTTTTTTCGGAGATACACGACCGTGACGGGGAATCTGAAACAGCTCGATTAGCATGCAAATAGTTGATTCCACTGTCCGGTCTTCCAAATATTTATTTCGGGAATGTCGACGTGCCTCGAAGGACGACTAGTATCCACAAAATCCTGAATCCGCATACGTCGCAGAAAATCACGATCCCGTCTAGAGATACGATAGAAGCTATTCTTAGCAGATCTGAAACGTATAGTTTGAAAAACAAATATTTCTCTCGTCCCCGTGAAAAAAAGAGACAAATTTTGCGGCAGAAATTTGCACGTAGCACACACGTGTCCGAAAGTTCGGTAAGGCGAAAATCGATGATCTTCGAGTGGGTTAGTGGGTCGTCGTCGCGTTAATTACAAAGACTCCAAACGCCGCGTAAAAGCGCAGTGCAATCACCTCTTGTTCAAGAATTCTCTCCAATCCCCTCCTTCTTTTCGCGTGCATTCTCTCCTTCTCTGTGACATCTCGGATCAACGACGCGAAGTCGTAAATGTTGTTTTTGTTAAACCCCCGAGTTATAGCGAGTGTTCGCTGTGTCAATCTTTTGGTAAAGCCCACACTCACGTTTCGAGAGATAACCATGGTGTTTGCAGAGGATTCTAAAACACATTTCCAGAAGTATTGGTTAGATAATGTTTGTCGATAAGGTGTTTTTAAAGGTGGTAATTTTCGTCTTTTAACAGAGTAGCAAGTAACATTTTGACGGAATACTTTGACTCCTCTTATCGATACAACTCGGAGTGGCTGGTAGTCGGGAAAGCACGCCGCTATATGTCAAGAGATAATGGCTTTCTAACAGACGGACAATTCGAAAGTTTTATGCAAATAGAAGCGATGGTCGGGGTCGTCGTGGCATGTAATTGTGAAAAATCTATGAAATGCGCAAGTCTGTCGACCCGGCACAAACAATATTCACGCACAGGAGTAATTGTTTTCCGCGTGCCCAGATCTTTTACAATGCGTAAACACCGGGGCGATTAAGCCGCGAGAAAGTTTAGTGAAACGTCGAGGAAAAGCCGATTGGCTGTAAATTTTTCGCAAGGTATGAGTGTTGAGTAATTTTTACTCTTTCTGTCTCTCTTTTACAATCTTTAAAATTATAAATTTTTACAACTTTTATGTTTTACAAAATATAAAAGTTTATTTAAAAAATATAGCTTTCATTTTTTTAGAATATTTTACAAATATTTTGTATTTAAAATTCTACTAATTTATATATTTTTATTTCAATTTTATTTAGTTCTTGATGTGCATATTGCACGGTGTAGTCGATCACAATAGATTTATATACAGTATTTTTTGTTATAGAAGAGCAACTTTGTAGAACGTCGTGATTGCACGGTTGCGTGTCTGTCATTTCTTTTAGTCAATGAACAGTTACGCATTTCTGATATTTTTACGTCTATCAATTTCACGCGCTCGCGATTGCATTCGTGCTCTGTTCGCTTGGCGATAGGACAACTGAGCATTGAAATCTCCGAGCATTGAAGTCTCTGAAATAACGGGAGATGCGAGCGCAGGAGAAAAAAAATGTGCGTGTGCCGCATGAGCTATCGCTGTATACGCTCGCGACAATTTATTTCTCGTGTAATTGTAAAATAATTAAAAGTAACATAAATACAGATATTTGTGCTACGTGAGATATTTTAAATTATATATAAATATATATTTTTTTTTTTTTTTTTGAGATGCGTGAAATGGCGTTTATACGCGCGCAATTATATGTTATGTAAAATTGATATTGTGTTAAAAAAGAGTAGCATAAATATTTCTTTATCCGCACGCAAGTTGCAACCGAGAGAATAATGACTTTTGAGAGAGGTAACCAAGCGTTTGTATGTGTGACGCGTGTGCGCGCACGAGGCAATCACGTAGAAAAAGTTGAAAAATTCCTTCTCGTGCGCGCATCGAGAACAACGGAACTTCCGACACACGTGACATCCGCTTTTCCGTCACGTACTCCTGTCTTTAGGTGGGCACGAGGTCATCATTGACTCGTCATCAGGTGCCTATTGATGGCATTGTCGGAGCACGAAGTGTTCGCGAAAGACAGATCGTCTTACGTTTCGCGAACACGTGAACATCTGCAGTTCGTAATGCAACGGACGTTTGAATATCTTGTTTTTTATCATTTACATTTTGTTATTCATATATATAATTTAATAATTCTCTCTCTTTTATTATATATTTATTAAACATATATTCAGAGGAATATGATTATATAATTAATTAGCTTCACGTGACATTTGAGTCGCGAATGTAAACGGAAAGCCCGAGATACCCGACAACTTTTCTCGCGAATGAAGGACCGCGACGGGATCGCGATATATAGGTTTACAACGTGCAGCGTCTGGCATTTAAGAACTATCGCGCGCGTGTGCGTGTGTGTGTGTGTGTGCGCGCGCGCGCAAGTATAAAAGCCTGGGGAGACCCGTGAGACCCTTATAACAGGTCACTGCCATCGAGAGAAGCGAGCAGGTTTGAACGGCGCGCTCGCGCTGTGGATCCCTTTACAGGGGAGCAGTAGGAAAGCCTGTTTATCCGTGTTGCATTCACACGCACGGATTGACACGCACAGGTATACGTACCATTTGCAAGTTGAATACCCGCAAAGGAACCTCACACAAGTTTCTCTCTCTCTCTCTCTCTCTCTCTCTCTCTCTCT